GTCTAGAAGAGAGTAAAACACAGTTTGAGTAAAAGTGTAGAAGGCAGTTGGATGCTAAGGCTGTCATTACTTTGTGGAAATCCCTGCTATGCCCTTCTTTTCTCTGCTTCTGCAGAATTACTAGATGTAAGGTATTAATTCTTTAATGTATACACACACACATACACAAAAATGCTATCCATTGAGTAGATATGATAGACTTTGACTGTATATAAGTTTTCTAGGTTCAGTATGTACTTTTGTTTATAGCAGTGACTCTAGAACTAATTGTATTTCTTGAGTCATTGCAAATGTACTGTTCCACAGATAGTGACAAATGCAAAGCACAAAGTTATTAATTCTTCTTTGTCATAATTTTAGCATGTCATCTTGAGCTTGCCTATGGTTTAAAAAAAGTAATGAATTATTTCAGTATGAAATTATAGCAGCCAGATACATTTCAAGGTGTTACGCATTATTGTAATATAAACTTAGAAAATACTGTCAGGAATTGTTCATATCATCTTAAATAACAGCATATAAACTAATGATGTACAAATTAAGTGTGGAAATTACCAGAATAAAAGATAAGAGATTGTATATTGGATCATACAAATGTATCTATTAAACAAGGGAAAGATTTGAGTAGTAGCCAGAAAAACAGAAATGAAGAGGCAAAAGGAAGAACCATAAAGATAATTCTAGAAGTCAGGATATTATTTTACTCTGTCAACAATCTTACAAAATCATAGAATCACAGAATGGTTTGGGTTGGAAAGGACCTTAAAGATCATCTAGTTCCAACCCCCCTGCTACAGGCAGGGTCACCCTCCACTAGACCAGGTTGCCCAAAGCCCCATCCAACCTGGCCTTGAACACTTCCAGGGATGGGGCATCCACACCTTCTCTGGGCAACCTGTTCCAGTGCCTCACCACCCCCACAGTGAAGAATTTATTCCTAATATGTAATCTAAATCTACCGTCCTTCAGCTTAAAGCCATTACCCCTTGTCCTATCACTCCATGCCCTTGTAAACAGTCCCTCTCCAGATTTCCTGTAGGCCCCCTTGAGGTACTGGAAGGCTGCTATGAGGTCTCCCCGGAGCCTTCTGTTCTTAACTTACAGGAATATATGTCTTCCATAAACACTTGTCTTCTAAGGTGCCAGAGGGTTTCTGTGTCAAAGGACACAGTGGTACACATTTTTTTTATATGGACAGATTGCATGCATGGATTTATTCCCACCAATGAATGATGACTAAACCTTTCACAAGGATGTGCAAGAGATACAAATGTGTTAAATTTAGGTTCCAGTGTAGGCGGTTTTGCTTTGCTTTTGATCATGTTATGGAAAAGAAGAACAGACCACACGTATTTTTTCCCCATATTAATAATTCTTAAAATACTACTTAAAATTCCCTGGAGTCTTAGTGCATGAAATGAAAGCAGAAAGTGTACAAACTGACAGTGAACACAAATGAATCTGATTCAGTTTTCTCAATCAGTGTGAGAGGAATATTAAGAGCAAATATGGAGAATGAATAAGTAAAACTAAATTATTCAGATTTCAATAAACAATAGCTCTATTAATAACATGAGAAAGTATTTTAGTGGGATTTTTAACTAAGCTTTCTCTTTAGTGCTAGAAATAAAAGGAAGAAAAAAATTTACTAATGTAAGATGACATACAGTATTTTGTACTTGAATGAAAATAAAATTCTGTAACTAATTAACAGATCTTTTCCTTCCAATGAAAAAATGTAACAGCCTAAGGCCCCAGTTCAAAAAATTATTTTTATTCAAACCACATTCCTGC